GAGAATGGGCAAAGGCCTTGGGCAAGAAGTGGCTGAATCTGGACCAAAAAAGCCAAGGACTTGAGGCATATCTCAGCTACAGAGCACTTGACTAGCATGCCATGAAGCCCCGGGTTCAAGCCCCGGTAGTGGACAGAAGAGGCTGGTGGGAGTGAATGCAAGGAAATGGGAGAGGTCACTAAAGGTGGCCCAGAGCCTTGGGCTTGGTTTTATTAGGGCAGGGTTTCCAGCAAACAGGACAGTAACACTATAAGTGTTCCTCCGAATCTGGGTGGAAGGGCAACGGACAAAGGCACATAGTGTTCCCTCCCTGCCTTACTCTGGTCAACTGAAGTCTGTTTCCCTAACAATCAGGAGCTCTCCAGGTTCGATGTTCTGTATCCACTAAGTCTCCGACCCCAGCACTGACCCAACCCAGGGCCCACTTCCACCAGCTCCAGTCGGTGCCCACCTTTCTTGGTCTTCTCGTCCATCTGGCCTGGCTGCGCCCATCCCCTCACAAAGGGCTGCTGCTCTCGAGAAATGCTACCTTGGGGTCACCTGGGAGAGGGCGGGAGGACAGCAGCGATTCAGCCCTAGCCGGCCTCGCGCGTGGCCCAAGAGATATCCCGGGGCGCACACGGGCAGCATCACACTGCCTTGGGCCCAAGGCCAGGCATTGGTAAGCGGTGGGGCCCCCGCGAGGAACACAGAAAGCGAAGAAGGCCCTGGCGCCAAGTCCGCAGTGGGTAGTGGGTAACCACGACCCAAAAGCGACGGACAGAAGGAGGCCAGCCGGCGCGGGCACCCCAGCGTCCGGAACTCCAGCCCCGCGGCTCGCGCTACCCGGAAGACAGAGCGGGCTGCATCCCCGGAAGAGAAAGTGAAAGTGGCAGCCCCGGAAGTACAGCAGGCTCAACGGAAGACTGTCCCTTTATCCGAGACTCTGCAAGCTCACCGGCTGGGGCGGGCGTCTAGGCAGCTCTTGGCACTTATGGTCCATCACATGGCCTCACAGACCGGGGACACTAGGTCCAGGAGCCGATGACCGTCCCTCGGCCGACCACGGACTCCCTGCAGCGCCTAGCGGGGGGGGGGGGGGGCGGGGGGGGCGGGGAGAGGGGGCTGGGGCGGGGCCTAGAGGCTCAGCGGGTGGGCTCTCCAGCGGTTCTCCACTCTCACTCTTTAGGTACTAACCTGACTAGTTCCGCGTCCACTTCTGCAGAGCCTGCAGGCTCACGGAATCCGCCAACACACCAATGAGTACCCAGGTTTTGGCGCCGTTTTCGGTTGTGGAAACGGGGTTTGAATGTTTGTGACTAGCCCAAAGCCACACTGCTGGGGTTTAAATCCAAACGTCACAATCTAAGGAGCTCCACCTTGGCAGCCTGGAGACTTGTCTCCTGTATCGCCTAGCTTGGGAATTCTTTTCAGCCTCAACTCATGTTACCTTTTCTTCCAGTTTTCATCCCACAGATTAGCAGACACAGTGAGTCCCACCTGCAGAACGGATAACAGAAACTCCTCTCCTGCACCCAGATCTCATCCTGCCAGCCCCTCGCCTGTCTGTTTTCCCTCAACTGCCCTAGAGGATCCTATTAAAACATAGATAAAGGGGTAGGGGAGACAGCTCAGTGGAGTAAAGGCTTGCTTGCTGTGCAAACCTTAGGACCTGAGTTCAATACTCAGTGCCCCATAAAAAGCTGGGCATGGTGGTGGGTGCTTGTAATCCTACCTCTGAGGAGGCAGACGGGAAGATCCATGGGATTCTCCAGCCAGCCAGACTAGCCTAAGCAGTGGAGACCCTGTCTGAACAAGATAAATGGTACCCCACAGAAACATGGGCACGCGCGTGTGTACACACAAAATGAATGAACACTTTCCACCTTCACTTCACTTGCATTTCCCACCGTCTCCCTCTCCTTGGCTCACTACACACTAAAGTGCCAGCTCTTGAATTCTGGAAGAAATTAGTTGGCCAAGTTTGGGAGCTTCTGTTTTAGAATTTTCCATCCTCAGCTGAGAATGTCTGTAAATTTCAGCATTTGGGAGATGGAGGCAGATGACTCTGGAGGGAGGGGAGGAGGAGAGAAGGGGGAAAGGAAAGAAGGAATGAATGAATTTCCACCTGGGATCTTCTAGTAAAAAAATATTTTTGGGTTTTGACAGAAAATCTGTGACTATACCTCCCAGATTCTAAGATTATAGGCACAACTATCAGATTGTACTGGTCTCACTGTGTAGATCTGGACAGTCTGGAAAAGGCTTTGTAGACCAGGCTGGCTTCAAACTTGTATAATCGTCCTACCTCTGCCTACCACATCCTGGGATGATAGGAGCTTACCACAGCTCTTTTGCTTTGTTTTTAAAATAACCTCTGCTTCTTTTCCTTTGAGAGCTTTTAAGAATTTTTAAAACTTTTTTTTTTCAGGCCAGGCGGTGGTGGTGCCTGCCTTTAATCCCAGCACTCAGCACTCGGGAGGCAGAGGCAGGTGGATCTCTGTGAGTTTGAGGCCAGCCTGATCTACAAGAGCTAGTTCCAGGACAGGTTCCAAAGCTGCAGAGAAACCCTGTCTTGAAAAACCAAAACCAAAACAAAATAATCCAAATTTTTTCTTTTACATTTTGACTTTCTGACTGTGAAAATTTTGTGTAATATTCTTGAATTTGTGAAATTTGATCTCTCCCTAATTCTCTCTCTTATTTTTGCAATAGTTCCTAGCTTGAGTTTATACATTTACATACACTAGCACTTTGGTTTCTGTCCAGATGACAGGTGAGCTCTGCGTGTCTGTGCCTGAGGGTTTCCATTTCTCTTGCCTTATTTTCTACTGTGGACTGTGAAGATTTGCTTACTGGTGTTCCCATCAGCCCTGATATCGTCTGCAAAAAATTAGTTGGGGGGAGGGGAGATGCAATCCTTTTTTTTTTTTTTTCTGGCCTTAGCCTTCTCTCTTTAAGGGGCAAGCTGACATCTACTCTTGACCCTTTGACGTCAGTGGGTAGACTCTAAAATTCATTGAAACCCAAGTTCCCAATCAGGGTGACAGATCCATGTCTGTGTGAACCTTAACAAGAGACTCCATACCTCTGGGTCTCAGTTTCTTCCTCTGCTCATTGACCATCATGGCAGCTCTCTTCTCGCCAGCTAGTATAAGAATCTATATATATAAGAATCCCGATATGTATCACATTGTATTGCCCCAAAGTCAGCAGCTTGAAACAGTAGACAGGACATGGTGGCACACAATTGTGATCCCAGGACTCTGGAGGCAGAGGCAAGAAGATCACAGACTCAGAGCCGATTTGAGTTACTTATTTTGACACTGTCTGAAACAAACACCCCAACAATAAATATTTCTGGGGTCAGAGACAGAGAACTGGTTCCTAGGTGGCTTTGGCTTGATCTTGGGATGAGATTTGATTCAGAGTACAAACTGATTTGTAGGAAAAGCCCCTACCTCGTGAGTCTGTGTGCACAGAGACCTCTCCACATGCCTGCCCCTTCCTCGTGAGCCTGTGTGCACAGAGACCTCTCCACATGCCTGCCCCTTCCTCGTGAGCCTGTGTGCACAAAGACCTCTCCACATGGCTCCATCAGATGGCAGCTGGCTGTCTCCAGTGCAGGCGCCCAGGAGAGGGAGGCAGACACAAACTCATGAATGCTGGATAGCAAACACTTATTGCCAAGCTATATTCCCAGCCCAATATCTGTTTCTTCCTTTCCATCCCTCCCTTCTTTCCTCCTATTAGTCACCACACTGTGTGTTCTAAGAGAGTCTGGGCTAGGATGATGACTCAGTAGTTAAGACGGCTTCTAGGAAAAAGAATTCTGTTCATAGTACCCACACAAATGCCTTGGGAGGTAGAGACAGGGGATCCCCAGAGCAAACTGATAAGACTGGCTATATGAGGGAGATCAAGGTTTAACTGAGAGGCTTGATTCAGCCGGGCGATGGTGGCTCACACCTTTAAGACCAGCAGCACTCAGGAGGCAGTGGTAGGTGGATCTCTGAGTTCAAGGCTAATGAGCTCCAGGGTGGCCAGAGCTACACAGAGAAACACGGTCCCGAAAAACCAAACAAAAATAAAAGGGAGAAAGAGGCTGACCCTCTGCAAGGAATAAGATGGAAGAGTGATTGAGGATTGTTCAAGACAGGATGTGGTGGAACATGCCTTTAATCCCAGCACTCATGAGGCAAAAGCAGGCAGGCAGATCTCTGTGAGTTCTAGGCCAGCCTGGTCTACAGAGCAATTTCCAGGACAGCCAGGGCTACACAGAGAAACACCACTTTGAAAAGACAAAAAGAAAAAAATCAAGATATCTAACTCCAGCCTCTATATATGTTGACACACCTGCACGTGCATGAGTGTGCGCGATGCGCGCGCGCACACACACACACACACACACACACACACACTATTCTATTCTATGCCTGCCCAGGTGAAGAGCCTGAGGTACAGAGTAGTTACGAAATCTGTTGAGGGTCCAACAGCTGGCACATCCTGGCTTTGGGGCAGCCTGACACTCGAGTGCTGAGTTCTTAAGTATGACAGTGCCACTTTTCTCTGTGTAATGTGACACACGTGCCAGCTGCCTCTGTGGAAGACAGCCAAGGATTGAAGGAGTGAAGAAAGCAGGCCTCCTGCCAACATTCTGGAGAGCCAGATTGGCCTGCCCTAAAACCACCCTGTTCACTGACCCATCTTTATGCAAAGTATGTTGCCTCCTGGTTAAGCCAACTCTCCACCCACCCCAACCCCTGCCTTGGCCTGAAGATGGAACCCTGACCCCTGAGCCTGTTGGATGTGTGCTTACATCTGAGCTACACCTGCCCTCAGCTTGGAAAGCTCCCCATGTGAGACCTGGGGTCTCTAGGAGAAATAGCTTGTACAGGAAGATCAATGGGGGAGTCTTACCATGAACCATTTGGTTGGGGTTGAGATATATCTGGCTTCCGTGTTGGGGTCAGTGTTGAAGGCAGGGAAAACCATGAAGGACAGAAGGTAGAACTCTCCAGCATATAGAACAGTTCTCTTTTATTAGGCACATAGTGAAAATACAAACTCAACCGAACAAAAGCCAGCATACTGACAATGGACCTGAGTACTAAGAGTCCCCAGCAAGGGGCCTGAGACTTTCCGTATGGCAGTAGGACAGTCCCTGTCTTGTCCTTTCCTCTCAACTGTGCTGCTCCAGCTAGAGGCCACCAGGGTAAAGGGACCCAGACCCTCATTCCCTGAGGCGGATGCTTCTTTGTTGGATTCTCATGCTTTTGTCTTGGCTCTTGGGCCAAGTCTTCAAGCAGGCTTCCTGCCTGGAGACCGAATCCAGGCAGCACACTCCCAGCCTGGCCTGACAGGTGGGCCTGAGGTATGGGTTGAGGTCTTTGGTCTTTGGCACGGAGACACAAGGCATCTGGGGCACTGATGAAGAGGGCTGTCCTGTGAACCGAAGCCTAGCACCAGCTCAGAGAAGGCCAAGCCTGAAATGTGCCCTGGGCAGAAAGCAAGAGGCTGGCCTGGGAGCATGTGGCACTGAGGCCACTCAGCTAGCAAGGTATTTTCTCCCCCTAGCTCTTTGCTGCTGACAGCTCCTGGAACAGGGCTTGGCACCCAGGGGCCCTCACCCTCCATAATGCGTGTGGGAGATCACATGAAGCATAGTGGCTGTTTCTTCCTCCTAAAAGGCACTTAAGGTTTAGCTTGGTCCAAAGAGACAGGAGAAAGCTCGGAGACAGGTATGCAATCCACAGCTTGCAGCTGAAGGGCCAGTAGGGTGGCCCTAGCCATACAGTCCCACCTCCCCATCCTCAGCCTCCTCCAGCCCTGGCCCATCTGGGACTACCTGGTCAGTATCCCAGCGGACAGACTGTGGAGGGGAGACAAGGCTGTGGTCTTCCCTTAACCAGGGATGCAGGGGGATGTTGGGGGCCACTAGTCGCTGTGAAGGCTCCTTACGAAGGAGACAGCGGATCAGGCAGCGGGCTGGGGCTGATAGGCCCTCAGGCAGGGCAAAGGTCCCTCTGCGGATCTTGCCAAAGAGCAGGGCCGGCTCAGAGTCCTGGAACGGGTAGTGACCAGCCAGCATAGTGAAGAGCGCCACGCCCAGGCTCCAGACATCAGCTGCTTTGCCAGAGTAGGATGGCCGGGAGCTGAGGATCTCTGGTCCCACGTAGGCAGGGCACGCATGCTTGTCCCACAGAGAGTCGTCTGGTCCAGTTATCACACAGGCATCCTCTAGGTCCTCCAGCACCAGCTTCGTCCTGGGTCACAGACAGAAAGACCAGGTCTTGCTCAGTCTTCTGGAACAGCAGCCACTAAGCCATTTCTTCAGTCCCTGTCTTTGTTTTGTAATCAGGGTTTTCTTTGGCTATTTTTTGGAGATAAGATTTCACTACGTTGCCCTGGCTAGCTTCTAACTTACTATCCTGCATCAGCCTCCTGAGTGCTGGGATTACAGCAGAAACCATCACGCTGAGCCTCAATGTCTTCGTAATTATTTTGGTTGGTTGGTTCTGGCTTCAGTGGGTCAGGGTCTCTCTCTGACTGTCCTGGAATTCACTATGTAGACCAGGCTGGCCTCGAACTCACAGAGATTTGCCCACCTTCCACCCCAAGGGGCTTCCATAACACTTGAGTCAAATTGGTCAAACTAGCAATCTAGGCTGTGAATGCTAAGTTAGATTCCATCCCCTTCTTCTTTCTTTTTAGTTTTTATTTTATCTTTGTAATTTTCAAATGTATGTGTATTTGTGTATAGTGTATGGGGGGGACAGGGGTGTACTAAGATTTTTATTTAATTTCATTTTATGTGATTGGTGTTTTTTTCCACATTCCTGTCTGCCTGAGAGTGTGAGATCCCCTGGAACTGGAGTTACAAACAGTTGTGAGTCACCCTGTAGGTGCTGGGCATTGAACCTGGATCCTCTGGAAGAGTAGTCAGTGCTCTTAATTGCTAAGCCATCTCTCCAGCCCCCTTTTCCACTCCTTTTCTTTCTTTTTTGGTTTTTGGAGACAGGGTTTCTCTGGGTAAAAGTCTTAGTGGTCCTGGAACTCACTGTAGACCAGGCTAGCCTCAAACTCACAGAGATCCACCTGCCTCTGCCTCCTGAGTGCTGGGATTAAAGGTGCGTACCACTGCTGCCAGCTTCTTTTTTTTTTTAAAAAAAAAGATTTATTTATTATTTTTTATTCAATGGGTGTTTTGCCTGTGTGTGTCTGAGTGCCATGAGCATGCAGTGCCCACAATGGCCAGAAGTGATTGTCAGATCTCCTGGGCTTGGAGTTATAGATGGTCATTAGCACTATGCGGGTGCTGGGAACGGAAGCAAAAGCACTTCATCCACTGAGTTATCTCTCCAACCCTCCCCTCCCCAACACACGTGTGTGTGTGTGTGTGTGTGTGTGCGCGCGCGCGCGCGTGTGCATGTGTGTGTGTATGTTGACAGGATCTCACTGCATAGCCCTAACTGGCCTCTAGCTCACAGAGATCCACCTGTCTCTGCCTCCACAAGGATTTAAAGGTGTATTCTGGTACCCTCATCTATTCCTTTATTCCTTATTCAACTTGAAACAGTCTCTCACTAAACCAGGTTCTCACCAATTGGATAGACTAGCTATCCAGAGATCTCTGGGAATCTGTCTGTCTCTACTCCTCTCCACCATGCCCAGTGTTAGGGTTTCAAACTTCACACCACAGGCCACAGTCACTGTGTGTAGGGAATTTCTTTTCCTGCCTAGGATGAAATCCAGAGCTTTTCCCACTGTGTTACACCTTAGCTCTGCCTGCCTAAGTTACTCTGCCCTCACGGACTTCAGTTTCCCTGCCATGACCCACTTCTCAAATGTGCCTCTGGGGTCACACTTACCTCTCACAGTTGCTGAAGACAAAACGACGCAGCTTTAGGTCACGCAAAACAAGCCCGTGTTGGTGGCAGTGCGCCACCGCAGCGGCCATCTGCCGGAAAAGTTTAACAGCCTCGGGCTCGGGGATTCCACGGCGGCTGCGCACCAGGCTATGCAAGTCCCCGTGGGTCTTCATGAAGAAGGTGTAGAGGAACTGAGAGCCCAGCAGGATGTCTGCAGGACGGGCCACGTGCTGGTGGGTCGGCAGCCGAGCGTAGGGTGCCAGCACCGCTTGGGCCTCGCTGGCCGGGTACACCTGAAGACAGAGCCAGGAGTAAGTACAGCGAGGGACGTGGGAAGCCAGGCTGGCCTAGCAAAGGGGGATGCCAACCATTAGACACGCAGTGAGCTACACATACTGGGGGCCTTGCTTTAGCAAGCCGCTCCTAGCTTGATATCAGCTGACTTTCTGCAGGCCACATGTCAGGGGGTCTGGGGGCCACAAGGCCAGCAAGCAGCACATCTGGGACTAGAACCTGTGCACCCAACTCTGTGCTCTATTCAGCCACCCTGTGTGACCTTATGCCTCCAGAAATTGAAACTAGGGTAGAAGCCAAATATGAGAACACTCCTAAGGGGCAGACCACCACCAAAGCCCCCGTCACAGCCAGCTCACTGGCCTGCCTGCAGCCCCTGTTCAGCTGGCTGGACTCACAGCCAGAGCCCCTGTTCCCTTGGTGTACCCAGTGCAGCGCAAGCAAGCCCACAGACCATATATTCCAAAAGAACTGAGAAAGATGTAGAACCCAGAGTATTTTGTTTTTCCATCTTGGCGATCAAGCCCAGGGTCGGTCTTTGCTAGGCAAGTGTGAGCTAGTATTTTGGAAGGGAGCACTCATTTTAGAAAGTTCAGGCCTGCCATGGAGGCACACACCTTTAATCCCAGGAGGCAGAGCCAGGTGGATCTCTGTGCATTTGATGCCAACCTGATCTACAAAGTAAGCCCCAGGCTAGCCAGAGCTACACAGTGAGATTCTGAAATGAAAAAAGAAAGAAAGAAAGAAAGAAAGAAAGAGTGGATTCACAGGACTCAGAAGTGACCTGAATGATTCAAAGATACCCATGGGAAAAAAACTTCCCAAGTTGGGGGCATTTGGGAAATATGCTCAGAGTTTGTGGACATTAAGCGCACACCTGGAAGGTGGGTCCAGGATTGTGGGGAAAGAAACTGGAGTTCAGGAAAGGGAGGTGACTTACGCAAAGCCATACTTGAACCTGTCACAAGCTGGCTACTGCAGAAGTATACACCACTATGAAAAACGCAAAGCATGTGATCTTTACAAGGGCAAGGGAGAGGCTGGAGAGATGAGTCAGCCGCTAAGAGCACTGACTGCTCTTCCAGAGGACTCAGCTTTAATTTCCAGCACCCACATGATGGCTTACAACTGTCTGTAAATCCAGTTCCAAGGGGGTCCAGACATAATCCCAAGCAAAATACCCATACACATAAAATAATAAAAATATTTTTTTAAAAAAATATTTATTTATTATGTATACATTATTCTGTCTGTATGTCTGCAGGCCAGAAGAGGGCACCAGACCTCATTACAGATGGTTGTGAGCCACCATGTGGTTGCTGGGAATTGAACTCAGGACCTTTGGAAGAGCAGGCAATGCTCTTAACCATTGAGCCATCTCTCCAGCCCATAAAAATAATTTTAAAAAAGCTAGGGTAGCAAGGAATAAATACACAGACTACTTTTTCTTTCTCCTCCAAAGCCCAGTCCTGCCTAGTATCTTTGTACCTCTTTATTTTTTCAGAGAGGAGGTGAGCTTTTTACGACATCTCTCTCTGTCTCCCTGGCTGTCTTAGAACTCACTATGTAGACCAGGCTGGCCTCAAACTCACAGAGATCCACTTCCTCTGTTTCTCAGATGTTGTGAATATAGGTGTGTGTCACCACACTTTGTGCCTCCCGTACCTGCAGCCAGGACTCTACCTTTGGAGCTTCCTCCCCATGCCTCCTCCAGCTTCTGACATGCACTGTCCTCTGTTATCTTCAAGGCCCTCACACAATTCTCATGTCCCCCTGCATCTCCACCTGTCTGCCTCCTCCTCTCTCTTCTTCTGCCTCCCCTCTGGCACCAGCTTCGTTTCCACCATGGTCACCATTGCCTGTTGGCACCCGTGGAAGTCAGAGGAGACCCGCTAGTGTCATTTTTCGGGTGTCATCCAATTTTCTTCTTAAAATTTATTTTTAATCATGTGTGTATGTGTGTGTGTGTGTGTGTGTGTCTGTCTGTCTGCTGTCTGTCTGTGTGTGTATATATATGTGCATGAGTGCGGATGCCAGAAGCCCTGGATTTCCCTGGAGCTGGAGTTGTGTAGTGGCAATCTGCCTCAAGTGGATGCCAGGAACAGAACCTGGGTCTCTGCGAGAGTTACAAGCAGTCGTAACCACTGGCCCATGTCTTTAGCCCTTTATTTATTCTCTCTCTTCTCTCTCTCTCTCTCTCTCTCTCTCTCTCTCTCTCTCCCCCTGAGATGGAGTCTCTCACTCGCCTTGGAACTGCCTCACTAAATAGCTGGCTGACCAATGAGCTCGGGAGGTTGGCTTGTTTTCACTGTCTCAGTGCAGAATTACAAGTATACACTGCCTCCCTCTCCTTCCCTTCTCTCCTCTCCTCTCCTCTCCTCTCCTCTCCTCTCCTCTCCTCTCCTCCCCTCCCCTCCCCTCCCCACCCCTCTCCTCTCCTCCCTTCTCCTTCCCTTCTCTCTTCTCCTCTCCTCCCCACCCCTTCCTTCCCTCTCCTCTCCCCCCCTCCCTTCCCCTCCCCACCCCTTCCCTCCCCTCCCCTCCCCTCTCCTCCCCTCCCCACTCCTTCCCTCCCTTCTTCCCTTCTCTCCTCCCCTCTCCTCTCCTCCCCTCCCTTCCCCTCTCCTCCCCTCCCTTCACCTCTCCTCTCCTCCCTTCTCTCCTCTCCTCTCCTCCCTTCACCTCTCCTCTCCTCCCTTCTCTCCTCTCCTCTCCTCCCTTCACCTCTCCTCTCCTCCCTTCTCCTTCCCTCCTCTCCTCCCCTCCTCACCCCTCCCCTCCCCTCTCCTCCTCTCTCCTCTTCTCCCCTCCCCTCCCCTCTCCTCTCCTCTCCTCTCCTCTCCTCCACTCTCCTTCCCTTCCCTTCTCTCCTCTTCTCCCCTCCCCTCCCCCCTCTTTCCCTTTGTCTTTCGATAAGGATCCTGGAGCTCACCAACAGAACTATCTCCCCAGTCCCACATGCTCACTTCTTTTTTATCTCACCATCCCTCTCCCTAGAATGTCCGTTTGATAGCAGGAGCACTGGCTCTAGGTTTGTTTTGGTTTTGAAACAGGTTCTCAGTATGTCCCCCAGGCTTGCCTAAAATTTGAGACAATCCTCCGTCTGGGCCTCTTCAGTGCTAGGATTACAGGCACGTGCCACCACACCCTGCTTGGGTCTGATCTTTGACCATGGGGGGGTGGGCATTGTGTATGTATGATGCTCTATGAAGTATGAAGTTTTGTCAGTTGAGAAACCCATTGATAATCTGCAAAACCGGAACCCTGCAGCCCTCTGGGACGCCCTTGTGCAGGGTCCTGGGATGCTAGAGGGGAGAGTCCGTAGATCTTACCTTGCAGGTGTACTCTGTGCCTGTGGGGCAGTGCAGAGCCTGGTAAGTGTGGCTGCCTTGCTCTTGTTCCAAAAGGACATAGGGCCCCAGCCTAGTTGCAGGAGCCACTGCAGGTGACAAATCTGAGGCAGGGGGTGGGCTGGCGGGCAGCAGGCAGGGGAGTGGCCCAGGTTCGGGCCCACCTCTCACTCGTTTTAGTTCTGGACATTCGGAGTCAATGTTGTCATCGAACTCCAACGGTTTCTTCCTGCAGGGGACACCAGCAGGAGCAGCCAGAGGGGTGTCTCGCATCTAGAGAGAAGGGAAGAAAGACTGTTTGGTCCTGTCTTCCCTACTAGGACCCTCTGGGCAGAGAAGACATCACTCTGGGTTTTCCGAAGCTCAGTAAGTATGGTGCTCTCAAACGCAAGGACAGCTGGAGAAGGAAGAACCCGCGACTAATGAAAGGCTTAATAATGCAATAAGGAAAGCTAGGTTTAGGGACACACCCGTGTACTGCCAGCATCGGGGAGGCAGAGGCAGGAGGATGGCGAGTTCCTGGAAGGCCTAGGCTGCATAAAGAGCTGACTGCAACCGCTCAGGCCTAGGACCCTCCCTGGCGGTCGGAGTTAAAGAGCGAGAAAATGAGAGTGAGAGAGAATGAAAGAGAGGGAGAGACAGACAGACGAGAGAGAATATTCATGAATATTCATAAATATGTCGGGGCTACCAATATCCTTAACTTGGGGAAACCCGCCCCCCTCTTAGCAGCTCCCCACCGGATACCTTGTCCTAGGGTTCCTCACGGGTCTCAAAGCCTTCTGCGCACGTGCACCGCGCCCTGCTACACCCAGCCGATCTCAGGGTCGCCGGCACGTTTGTGCCAGGCTACAGCCTCTCCGTATTCAGCTGTAGCGGCTTCCGCTGCTAAAGTGCTGAGGCACGGGGACCCGGGTTCCCATTCCCCGCCCGGCTGATGTAAACCTGAGCTAAGCTACGGCTGACGCCGTACGGTGCTGGATTGCACCATCCACGACCCGCCCCTGTAGCCGCTCCAGCAGGACGCTCCGCCTGCGCCTTCGGGGCCACTCGCACGCCCCCCTCCCACGCCCCCTATCCCCGCTTAGCCCCGTGAAGTAGAACCCAGAGCCACCGCTCTCCTTACCGTGGTACTTGACCGTACCCTTTCAAAAGTGCACCCAGCTCTGCTCAGACTCGTGGTGCGGCACAGAAAAGCCACTTAGCGCCCTGGCTGGCTAGGGGTGTGGCTCCCTGAGAGCGCTGGACTTCCGAGCCTACGGCCCTGCTCTGTCACAAAGCCAAAAACAATCAAAGAAAGCACAGCTTCAGTTCCCTTCTCCATAAAAATGGATTTGTGACGGTGCTTACTTCATATAGTTGCCGTGAGCGGTAGTAAGTTTATGAATGCAAAATTCTTAGATCCGCTGGGTGTGACGCACCCTAGAACCTCAGTTATTTTGAAGCCTGAGGCAGGAGGATGGCCTGTTTGACGGTAGCTCTAGCTTACCTGGAACTAACTCTGTAGACCAGGCTGATCTCGAACTCAGAGATGCACCTGCCTCTGTCCCCAGTACTAGGACTAAAGGTCTTCTTATCAAGCTAAAAGAAATTTAAGGGCGGAAGGGGTGGAAGGGAGGAGGCTGTGGCTCAACTGCAGAACATTTGCCTAGCAAGCACTAGACAGTGAGTTCAAATTCAATCCCCAGTAACAGAAAAGAAAAGAAAAGAAAAATAGCCGTTAGTCACCTTAAATACCAGCACTCAGAGGCAGAGACAGGCAGATCTCTGTGAGTTCCAGGTTAGCCTGGTCTATAGAGTGAGTTCTAGGACAGCCAGGGCCTGTTTCTTAAAACAACCAAAAAAAAAAAAAATGGGGCCGGGGAGATGGCTCAGTGGTTTATTTAGAGCGTTGGCCGCTCTTCCGAATTCAGTTTCCAGCACCCACATGGCAGCTCACACCTGTCTGTAACTGCAGTTCCAGGGGATCTGACACCCTTACACAGACATACATCCAGGCAAAACACCAATGAACACAAAACAAAAATAATAAAGATAAAATAACAAAATAAACAACCAAAACGAAAATGTAGTGTATGGGACATATAGGCACTCAGTAAACAGGATGGAGCCACTGGACACCGCAGCTGAAACTAGGCATGCCTACCCTCCCTCTGCCGCCCTGGCAAGACCCCAAAGGCCCAGTACTCCCGGCACTCTGGTTTCCATCTCGATACTTGAGTTCATTTATGAAGAAGAGGGAGGAGGAGGAGGAGGAGGAGGAGGAGGAGGAGGAGGAGGAGGAGGAGAAGAAGAAGAAGAAGAAGAAGAAGAAGAAGAAGAAGAAGAAGGGGGAAAATTCCCATTGGGATTGAGAGGAAGGCAGGGCCAGGACACCTGTTTCTCTTTACAAGTTGGAAATCCGCTCTCTGGTGTCACCCTCTCCCAAACCCACGTACAACAGAGGATTCAGGGATCTAATTTAATTCTGCCCACCCGGCAAATGGGGAGGGGTAACTGAACTTTTCAGAATCCATAACAGGTGGAAGACCCCAGAGCTGTGACAAAGGGTGGGAGGGTTGTTTTCTGGGTACCCCTCTAGCACCAGGCCTGAGCTAAGTGCTCATTGCTTGCTATGCCAGCCTTTGTTCAAATGCTGTAGACTCAGGGCAACCACACTGACCACTCCAGGCTCACAGATCTTATAAATAAAACAATAATGACAGTAATTAAAAGTAGATCATACTGCTAGGCAGTGGTGGCGCACGCCTTTAGTCCCAGCACTCGGGAGGCAGAGGCAGATGGGCCTCTGAGTTCAAGGTCTGCCAGGTCTACACAGTGAGTTCTAGGATAGCTGAGGCTACATAGTGAAACTGTCTCTCAAAAAAACCAACCAAACAAACAAACGAATAAGCAAACTTTTGAAGATGGGATAATTGCCAGGAATGATGGCGTACATATCTAATCCCAGCAGGAGATGCAGGCAGTAATTCGAAGTGGTCTTCTGCTATATTGCAAGTTTGAGGCCAGCCTGGCCAACATGGACCCTGTCTCAGAAATTGTTTTTTATTTTTAGTTGTGGTTGAAGAAAAAGAAGAAATTCGCTTTATTCACCTATCATATTTATCCTAGCCTGCGCGTGTTTTCTCAACAATCAACAAAACTGTCAGTAGCATTAAACTTTCTCATACTAATATTCTCATAATCTGTTTGCTTTTGGTTTATATTTTGTTTGGTTTGGGTTTTGTTGTTGTTGTGCTGAGACAGAGTTATATAGCAGAAGTTGACCTTGGATTTTTGATTCTCCTGCCTCTACCTCCAATGCTTGGTGATGGCCCAGAACGCTTGATCCTCCTTTAAATCTCACGTGCTGGGATTACAGGTGCGTACCACACTTGGCCTGATTTGAAGGTCTCATTATGTAACCTCGGCTGGTGTCTAACTCTCTTGAGTGCTAAGATTACAGGCATAGGGCACCACTTCCAGCTCTCCAGTGTGTGTTTTACACTTCTTTTGAATCCAAAGGATCATGGGAACTAAGCTATTAATAGTTCAGCCAAGTGTGGTGGCTCATGCCTAGAATCCCAGGCTTTAGGAGGCTGAGACAGGAGGATTGGCATAAATTCAGCCTAGGCTATAGAGTGAGTCCTTATCTCAACAAACAAAACAACTGTGGGCTGGCCAGATAGCTTACCTTGCCTGTTGCCAAGGACAACAACGTGAGCTGGAGCCTCAAAGCCCACATGATGAAAGAAGAAAACTGCCATCCAATTTCCTCAGCAAACTGGCACACAAATTCACACACACGCACAGAGAAGAAATATATAAATGTATAACATATAAGCAAAGAAATTATTTTACTTAAAAATAAAACTTGGATGAGAAGGTCAGAATGGGTCACTGTATTGGGAAGCAGCCTCTGCCGGGTGCTAAGAGAGCATTACTGTGTAAGAAAACTGACTCACAGCAGAGGCACGGAATCTCCTCCCAGGAGATGCCGGCTCCACCAGTGCCTTGGGGAGGAAGTCTTACTTCAGAGTTTCTCTGTGTTTCACACCTGTCTCCGAAGAACTGGAGAGCAAAGCGCATCTCCGAGGGAGGCTGCAGTCAGAACTGGATTGAGCTGGCGTTGCATAACCTTGTTTTGTTCTTCTGGTATTGAATTTCACGATGACCTCTTTCCACAGCAGTTTCTGCATTTTGTTTGTTTTGTTTTCTGTAATGACAGCAGCCAAGCTGGGGCCTTCTGCGCACTTTAGACAAGGGCTCATCCACTGAACCCCACCCAAGAGTTCGTCCCCAACTGAGATCCTTCCCTGAACTTCATGCCTAACCCTCTCCTTTTACGCCTTTAATCCCAGCACTCCGGAGGCAGAGACAGGCGGATCTCTGTGAGTTCGAGGCCAGCCTGGTCTACAAGAGCTAGTTCCAGGACAGGAACCAAAAGCTACGGAGAAACCCTGTCTCGAAAAATCCAAATAAATAAATAAATAAATAAATACAATTCTGAGACTATCTCACTGTCTACACTGGCCTTTAACTCATTTAAATAGACAAAGCCAACCTTGAGCGTACTATTCTCTGCCTCAGCCTCCAGAGTAGATAAGATTCTAGACAGGTGCACCAAGTCTAGCTGAAAATGGACATTTTACTTATTAATTAGTATTTATTATTTTTTTTCTTCCTGTAGTCTTGGGTATCCTGGAACTCACTTTGTAGACCAGGCTGGCCTTGAACTCACAGAGCTCGGCCTGCCTCTGCCCCCCGTGCTGGGATTAAAGGTGTGCACCATCACCATCTGGCTATTTTTAAGTATATACTATTTTATTTTGTTTTAGTTTCCGTGTGTGTGTGTGTGTGTGTGTGTGTGTGTGTGTGTGTGTGTGTTTGAGGAAGGGGCACACTGGGATCTCCAAATTTCCAGGAATCCTGATTCCCTTACCTTTCTGTCACGTCCACCTCTTGCCCTTCCTAGGACCGAGCACACAGCTGAGTCATCTGGCCCCTCTTCGGCCTCTCTTCCTGTCTGGAGGCCATGGGAGGCCAGAGAAGCACAGGTATTCAGCATGTTGGGTCCTGGCCACTGCTCAGCCTTTCCCTTTCTGAGAAAAGCTGGGGGAGGGGGATGAGTGTTCAGCAGGTTGCATCAGAAAGCCTTGCACAAGACACTTGCCTGGACAGATAGCCCCATCTCCAGCCTCCACCCCACCCTGCTGCCCTTGGACCCCAGGGAGAACTGTAAGCCCCCTTGGTAGACTCCCAAGACAAGTTGGCCTGTAGAGAGTGACCAAGGGAGGTCTAGCCCTTCAGAAGCGATGGATGGCTGGGTTTAGGGCAGGTGCTAAGAGGGCTTGAGCTTCCTGGTGACACTCCTCAGGAAAGCCAGAGCCCATTCCACCGCTTTTCTAGAGAAAGGGGACTAGGCCAGTGCCTTAGATATTGACTGAGCCCTAATCTTTGACTCTGGTCATAGACTGAGCCCCAAACAAATCCAACTCTAGCACTAGGCACCCTCCTCATAGACAAGAGGGCATAGAAATGGGCACCAAGATCTTGGCATTTGCTCCCTGCCGCGCTGCATGCTGGTCGTCTCCCCACAGTACAGGCCAGCTCGTGCATTGCACACACTGCCTGCTCCTGACCAAACAAAGCCCAAGTGTCAGGGTGAGGCCAGAGTAGAGTTGGGCAGAGTCCCTGGGGTGACTGGGCAGGGGCTGAGTCAGTGCGGGAAGCACCACCTGGAGCTTTGAGCCAGGGGAGAGCGCAGCGGGTCCTGGTCTCACAGTGCAGCCATCAGGAAGGGTGTTTTGTGAGCTTGTGGCTGTTGCTGTTGTTTTGTTGGTTTGTTGTGAGGCAGGATCTCAGTATGTAACCAGGCTGTCCTCCTGCCTCTGCCTTCTGAGTTCTGGGACTAGAGATGTACCACTTTGCCCATCTACTTATCCTGAACTTTGAAAAGTAAGACACCCCCCCCCACACACACACACACAGATCTGCTCACCTCCGTGTACCTGCCTGCCCATCGACGGCCATTTCCTGTTACTCATCCACATTGTTCTCTCCCAGAGCCCAAGAGTCTCCTGTTTTTTTTTTCCATAGTAACACATTTTTTCAATTTTAATTTAATTTTATATTTATAGATGTTTTGCCTGCACGTATGTCTGTGTGAGAATGACAGATTCCCTGGAACTGGAGTTACAGACAGTAGTGGCTGCCATATGTGTGCTGGGAATTGAACCTGGGTCCTCCGAAAGAGCAGCTAGTTCTCTTCACCTCTGAGCCATATCTCTCCAACCCATAATGACACTTTTTATAAACAGGATTATGTATGCTTTTGTCATTTGTTCAGTGTCTCTCTCCCGCTCTGACCCATAGACTCCATTGAGCAGGCATTTGTCCATCCCTCCAGTCATCCACCTGTCTTTCCAACAGCAATGGTACCATGTATACATTTGCTCAGTTGTTAGACAAGTATTTGTTGAACACGGCCACGTGCCGGGCTCTGTTCTAAAGGTTGGGGAGGCTGCAAAGAGAATAACAGATTAAATCCACATGCTTACATGTCATGGCAGGGGCTAGAGAGATAGGGAACGGACATCTGGGTAAAGAGAGGATGGCGATCGGGATGTGGTGAACGTCCGGAGCTGGACACCCGGTGCCGGACACTCGGGGAGCTGCTAGAAGGCAACCATGACAGCTCTGCAAAGACTCCTAGGGCTGTTGGCATAGGGCAAGAGGGTGGCTGTGGCAAACAAGGTCTCGGGAGGGTTCAGACCATCTGGGGCTTTGGAGGCCTCTGAAGGGCTGTGGGGAATAGGAGGGAGTCTTGGAAGGGTTTAAGCAAGGGCATAGTGCCTGAAGGCTAGAGAGATGGCCCAAGAGCACTTGTTGCTCTTACAGAGGAACTGTGTTTGATCACAACCATCAGTAACTCCAGTTCCAGGGCAGCTGATGCCCTCTTCTGGCCACCAGTCATGCATGTGGTGCGCATCCACAGATGCAGGCAAAAACCTCCCCACACATAAAAGAAAAAAAAAGCAATAAATTAAAAAAAAATTAAACTAAGCAAAGTGGGCTCCTGGGGGAAGCTGTGCTTGGGCTGGACCATAGGAAGGAACGAGAGCAGCAGAGAAAACAATCTGTGTGCTGAGGTAAGGTTGGACTCTGGGGACACAGGGGCACCTCCGTTTAGATGGAGTTACTTCTCTATAAGCTCATTAGTAGGTCCTGAGAGATGATTCAGAGGGTAAAAGTACTTGTCGCCCAGCCATGCAAGCCTGATGACCTGAGTTTAGTTCCCAGGCACCACAAAGCTGTCCTCTGACCTCCACATGTGCTTCCACAGACATACCACACACACACACACGCACGCGTGTGCACACATACACAACACACACACACGCACACACACACACGCACGCGTGTGCACACATACACAACACACACGCACACACGCACACACGCACACATGCACACACACACCATGAGTTGTGTCCCTGGTTTGCTATCATGATCGTGTGGCTTATGGGAGCTGGGACAACATTTTACTAACTCAGGGGGAAAAAATTAAAATTCCAATATCTCAGAACAGTTTCCACTGAATTCATGTCCCTACATTATGTGTCCATTTCTTGGCCACTGTGTGAGTCAAATCATCATAAATTAGAGGTCACCAGGCGGTGGTGGCACATGATTTTAAACCCATCACTCCAGAGGCAGAGACAGGCAGAGATCTCTGTGAGTTCGAGGCAAGCCTGGTCTACAGAGCAAGTTCCAAGACAGGCTTCAGAGCTACACAGAGAAACCCTGTCTCAAACAACTTAAATAAATAAATAGATAAACAAACAAACAAGTTAAGGGTCATATGTTTTGTTTGTTTGTTTGTGTGTAGACCAGCCTGACCTGGAACTCACAGAGAACTTTCTGCTTCTGGTTCCCATGTGCTGGGTATGAAGGTCAGCTGTATTTTAAAGCTGGAACCAAGAGGGTGACAGCTTTATTTTCCTTCTGTTTATTACTTACTTACTTTGGTGCTGGAGACTGACTACAGGGCCTGGTGCATGATAAATGTGTGCTCTACCGCTGAGCCACTGAGCAATGGGATTTACAGGTCCTGCTGATGTTTTAAATGTGGGGTGAGAGAGAAAAGGAGGTACCAAGCACACCTCCCAGTGTAGACAAACGTTCCTGTCCCACCCAGTCCCACAGCTGTTCAATCCCAAATAAACACACATAGGCTTATATTAATTATACACTGTTTGGCCTATTGCTAAGGCTTATTACTAACTAGCACTTACAACTTAAATTAGCCCATAATTCCTATCCATGTTTAGCCACATGGCTTGGTACCTTTTCTCAATAAGGCATTCTCATCTTGCTTCCTCTATGTCTGACTTGAGACTGCATCTCTGTCTTTCCTCTTCCCAGAATTTTCCTAGTCTGATAACCCCACCTATACTTCCTGCCTGGCTACTGGCCAATCAGCGTTTTATTAAGCCAATACAGATGACAAATCTTCACAGAGTACAAGAGCATTATCCTACAGCATCCCAGTTTCTTCGCCTGAACAAAGGTCAAGTCAAGAACTTTACCATTTGGTGAGATGGAGCAAGCTGTTTTGGGGAAAACGGAGCTTTCTGGTTGGATGAATGGCCCGGAGTTCAGGATGTTTTTGCTGAAGGTTCAGAGAGGAAAGTTCCAGATGTGAGACCTGGTGAAATGTGGGCCATGAGACTAATAGCCTTGCCTGGAGGGACTGAAGAGAAGCAAAATGACCTGGGAAGGAGGGAACCAAGAAAGTGAGGAGCATGGCCCCAGAGAAGAGAGAAAAGGAGCAGGGGATGGTAACTGTGAAAAGTAGTTGTCTTAGTTAGGGTCTCTGGAAGAACACTGGCAGAATAAAAATGAAGCTATATTTTAAATACAAATATATATTTAAAAGCAGACATATTAGATTGGTTTACAAATACGATCTGGGTAGTCCAAGAAGGGCTGTCTTCACCCTGAAAAGGCTGAGAACCCAGGAGCAGCTCAGTCCATGAGTCTGGATGCTTCAGTGATCCCAACCTGTAGCGGAGTCCCTGGAGAATCCTAGAGAGTCACTGGTCTTCAGTGCACACTGGAGGGCTGCAAAGGCTGGGTTGTGACATTAGTGAAGGAATGCAGCGGCAGTGGCAGCAGCTTGCAGCAGCAGTAATAACAGCAACACAGGGTAAAAGAACTCATCAGCGGGACAAGAAGGCAATGAGGCGAAAGCAAAAGGTTTTCCTCAGAGCCTCTTCTGATATCGTTCCCACTAGAAGCTGCTGCTCAAATTTAGGTTAGGTCTCCCTGCTTCAGATAAGTTGATTGTGAAATTTTTTTCACAGATGTGCCCAGTGGCCTACATATTTCTTGATTTTAGACATATCCAAGTTACGACCAAGATAAACTATCACAAGTCCACCCCTTGTCAACTTGACACCCGAAAGCATCACTTTAATGCTATAACTTTCCTCCCTTTAGCCAATAGGTTCATAACCATACTGTAAGGCAAAATATTCAGTCCAACTTTAAAAGTTTCTAAAGTCTTTAATAATTTTAATACTTTCAAAGTCCAAAGTTTCTCACCGGTGACTTCCTAAAACATAAAAATCAAATTAGGTACTTCCGCAGTACAATACCACAAAGTAAGCTTTCTTACCCTAAAAGGAAGATCAAGGCATAGCAAGGAATAACCAGACAAAACACAGCAGGGAAACCATCAAATCCCGCAGCTCCATGACTGGTACCTGAGCTTGTGATGAAGCTCCAAACTCTTCAACAGTCCTTCCACAAACCAGTTTCAAAGGCCCAGGAACCATATGGTCAGATTTATCACAGCCACAACCCCACTTCTGGTACCAATTTCTATCTTTCTGTCCATACCCTATCCCAGTGCCTGGCACAGGGGTTAGTGCCCCTGGAGTTTACGACAGACTTGTTGGCTTACAGAGGGCAGGTGCACAGTGAGCAGTAGGGGGACTAGTGGGTGGTGGGTGGTGGCTGAGCAGATTTGTGGGTGAACTGTAGATGGATAATCTTTAAGATTGT